CAATCAAATGTAGGTCGATCATTCTTGATACTTGAAGATGCTTTAAGAAACATCCCAGCTCTCCAGAGGGTTTACTTTATTTAGTTGAAAGCTCATTCCTTAAAACAGAAGCTTGAAGGGTAGATTTCAAGCTAGTTATGGAAATAAGTTATTCGGCAAACTAAGATTTGTTTGAGAACTTTAATTTACTTTATTTGAAAAGTGGACTTATTAACACATGAATACTGTGTAATATTGTTTTAAATCTGTATTTAAGAAGTAGAGTACGTGACAAGCACAAGTTGATTTGAAGGCCGTATTGCATTATACTTTTTGAATTAGCTAAGGACCGTTTCATATTTGACCCCGGGCCGTAGTTTGGACACCCCTGAGTTTAAAGATTTGTCTTCAGTGGTTCTGTTTCCTGTGGAGGTTGTTTTGTACGAGCGTCACCGGCTCTGTCCTCTCTGGGTTCATCGGGTCCATCACTGCAGGAAAGATAAATCCTCCTCAGGGCGAATCCTCACGAATGTGGAGCTTAGTTTCCATCAGGGAAGAATATCAGAGTCAGTGTTCTCAATACAGGCACCGACCCGTTTCATTCTTAAGATAATTGTGGGATAATGGAGGATAATGTCCCTCTAAATTACACTTGAATTAAATTGGATTGCTCCATTCAGAGACTTGGTTTAACCCAGGCTGCTCAATGATTTTGTCTTTAGTTATTGCATTATCAGTAGCTAGATGTTTACCTATAATGTCTCCACATTCAGAGACAAGATATGTCCCTTCTACTTCTTCTACTTCTACTTCTTCTTCATCCTTATCTCTTTCCTCTTCTTCTTCTCCTGTCCTGTGAATAGCTGTTATCTGGGCTTCAAACATCATACTGTGCCTAACACATCCCATCTCATCAAGGTATCATCAGATCTGACTCTGGACTAGTTCCAATGCGTCAGACAGATGGAAAAGATCCTGAATTAATGGGATGTCATTGATGGAAGTTAATCCAAGTTAAAGAGACAAGTCTTTTCATTCCTGACCTCGAGCGGTATCTAGCCATTTTTTCATTGAATCATTTATTTGGCTGGAAAATGCACAGTAATGAACACTTAAAGCATTCAAATGTATTAAGCGTAACAGTGCCAGATTTAGCTTTGAGCTCATTTCCATCCGCAGTCCCTAATCAAGCTAAGTTTAGCTATATTTTTTAGATATGTGTTACAGCTGGGAGAATAAACCCAATGACTTCTAACTCTACATTCCTGGTCGATTATTTGCCACTACTGGGGATCGCCAGATGTTTCCTCGAGCACCACATTTGTGATTTTGATTGGAAACTATTGGATGTATTATCATGAAAATTGGTTCACACACTTGTGTTCCCTTCAGGATGATTTATAATAGCTTTGGGGATCTTTCACATTTGTATCTGGCTCCACCATTCAGGTCCAAATAAAAAAAAGAAAGGTTAACTTTATGAATGCATATCTACACAACGAATGGTAACAGCCTCCACTGTACCTCCTTATTTGTAATTGAGCTTAATGTTAGCCACGCAATTTAATTAGCTGGATATCTTTAGTGGATCTGAGCCTTCAGCTTTTCCTTTAGTCAGAGACCTCAGGAAAGATCAGGTTGTGCTCTAGTGTAGTTCCCAGGTATCCATCATAGACTCCTGATTTCCATTTCACCACCACCTCGCCAGTCTTCATTGTCACGCTTCACTCCTCCACGAGCCTCTAGGTGGTGTCCTTCTTCTTCTTCTCCGGTTTGATGTTTTTATGACTCCTGTTTCCCGTCCTTTAGCTTCAGAGGGCACTCTGCCGGTGGCCAGCGTCTCCCCGACCATCCTGAACGTCATACAGGGTCAACGGGCAGAGTTTCGCTGCACCGTGACCGGAAACCCCACCGCCGCCATCGAATGGATCGGTACGAGTACTTTCTGCTGACTCATTTCCTCACTTCCTGTCCCCTGGTCTGGAGGTCAATGGTTTTCTGAATGTGTTTTTGGTTGTTAGCCTCAAATAAGGTCTATGGTTAACACAAGCTGAAGAGATTTTAACATTTTGTTCTAAGACATGTAATACGTCAGTTAATACCCCACTGGTGGATTTAAAACGGAGGGAGCTAGCAAGTGTCTAAATGATACTACTAAACATCATCACAACTAACATTAGCCTCCTTTAGCTTAGCAGTGGTGACGTGAAGTCATGTGACCTTGCTGTAGTTCCTTTATAGCCCAACATTAGCCTCCTTTAGCTTAGCAGTGGTGACGTGAAGTCATGTGACCGTGCTGTAGTTCCTTTATAGCCCAACATTAGCCTCCTTTAGCTTAGCAGTGGTGACGTGAAGTCATGTGACCGTGCTGTAGTTCCTTTATAGCCCAACATTAGCCTCCTTTAGCTTAGCAGTGGTGACGTGAAGTCATGTGACCGTGCTGTAGTTCCTTTATAGCCCAACATTAGCCTCCTTTAGCTTAACGTTAGCTTCTTACTTCAGAAATCATGAAGTAGTGTTTATATGTGGAGATTATCCTGCTGAACTAAACCTGTAAGTATCAGAAACGTTTGTTTGACACAGAGATTATTTTCTGCAATAATCCAAACTAACATGGAGGAATCCCATTGGACCAAGGACATGCTGCCTTCAGGGACCAACACGGAAATAGGTCTAACCCCTCTGTGTGCCTGTGTGTTGTTGCAGGGGGTCCGGGGAACAGGATGAGCCCCCGGGCTGTGGTCAGAGGAGGCGTCCTGAGCTTCAGCGCCGTGGATCCAGCTGATGAGGGGGAGTACACCTGCAAGGCCCTGAACACACACGGGGAGAACACAGTGCGGGTCTCCCTGTTCGTGCAAAGTAAGACTGTGTTTGTTAATCGGTATCACACAAACGCTTGTTTACGTGCCTTGTGAGGACCACCAACGGAATCAGGACCAAATGCCCGGTCCCCACAATGTAAACCAATATTATGAGTTTTATAATATTTGGGATAGGTAGGCTGGCAGGGACCTTAAAGAGTCCTAAAATGCTAAAAGAAAATAGGACTTTTTCTGGTATTTAAATCCTTACGAGTCTTTAAAAAAAAGCTAAGACATGGGAATTAGGACTTGTGACTTTTTTAGTTTTTACATGTGGTAGCATCTGTTTAAATTGCATTAATACCTTGGAAATAACAGTGTGGTTCTGGACCTCACATCCATTATGAGTTCAAAACACAGCATTTCTAAAGACCATGAGGAAATCATCCCAGGTGCGTCGTTTCTCAAACTGGGGCTTGTTGGGTCCTTAAATTGAAATGAATTGGTTCTGAAATGTTTGTTATTAATGTGTAAGTAGGCGTGGGAAGTCTGAGTTAAACTGGGAGGAAACAGGAAGACTCCTGCCAAGGGAAAAGTCAGAGAGTAGGAAAATCATTTGTGTTTCCTCCCTGTGATTCGTATCCGTTTTAAGATGTGATGGTTCTTCCTTTGCCCACGTTACACCCTTTACTAAGGTTAACGAAATGAGCCAGGAGTTTTTTTGTCAAGGAGCTGTGGTTGGGGTGGTGTGTTTTTTCATAATCATATTTTGTGCTGAGTAAATTATGTCAAGGTGTTATTTTTTTATTTTTTCAGCTTTTTGTGTTTTTTTTATATACATTTTCTTTTTAAAGAATTTTTGCCTTTTCCCAATTTTTTTTAAAATATAATTTATTTTAGATTCCTTTGTTTGTTTTTTTGCCTTTTCTCAAATTTTTGGTGTTTTTTTTTAAAGTATATCGTTTTTTTTTGTTTTACGAAATATTTTAATTTTTTTAATTTCTTAGTTTTTTTTTTAAACTTCAAATTTATTTCGGAATTTTGTTTTGTTTTTAGTTTTTTTGTGGATTCTTTTAATGTTAACAATTCCTTCTGTTTCAGAGTCGAACCCGAGCGTTGTCGGCACGCAGCCTCAGGTTCAGGTCAGTCCTCAGAACATCGAAGCCCACGAAGGAGACAACGTCCGTCTGTACTGCAGAGCGACAGGATCCCCGACCCCGAAACTCACCTGGCTGAAGAACGGGGGTCAGATCCCCCCCCAGGTGAGCCCCCCCTCGCCGCTGCCGCACCGTCACTTTAACACATTCACATTTTGCCGTGATATTAATCTGATTTCCTCTCGAAGGTGTGTCCGATGCCGATGGAGTTCAACTTTCTGTTTGTACTGTTTCTTCCGCATTTTGACATCTACTCTTTATTTCCCTGTTTGTCTCCTCCCCCCATGGTTTTTTGTTTTTGATCC